GACATTTAGCTTGACCCTTGCTTGGACTCTCCTGAGCAGCGCCCTGGAAAAGGACCATTGACTTACCTGAAGGGTCGTTTTCAGGATGCTGTGAAGGAGAGTCCACCCCACCCTGGGGTCTGGCTCCGCTGTTATCACGTTTATTTCCTTGGATGTTCCAGTTGAACTTGTTCCGGTTATGTTTATGGTTGATCCAATGTTGGACTTCTCAAGCGCGCAACAACAGTTCCACGTCTTCATTGAAAAATCTGAGGATAATCAGCACCAGAGGCGTGGCTTAAAGTTTCAATTCAGTTCTGGGCAGTTTGGCTGTATTTAACCCTTGCTTGGACTCTCCTTTGCAGCTGAAAACGACCCTTCAGGTAAGTCAATGGTCCTTCCAAGTGAATTTTCCACTTAAAACTCATCTAGCAAAATGAATTGCATATTTGCATAGTCTTACTATGCAAATATGCAATTCAATGCTCCTTAATCGAAGCATTATGATTGGAGCATCTTGATACAAATCACATCTCTGTATATCAAATATTTTCTTCCTTTACCTTTTATCTCATACCTGAGGAGAAAATTGATCTGTTTTTGGTTTCTTTTCATTTGAAACTTGAATCACTATGAAAGCTTCAGGAAAATTTAGACTCTGTTTTGCAGAATCTTATTTCAATTGTATGAGGGATGTTTGTTGTTTTAAAATTGTTAAATTGTTGTTATCGTTATGTGTTTTCTTTTTATATTTTTTGTAAGCCACCCGGAGTCCTTTGGGATTGGGCGGCATATAAATATATTTAATAAATAAATAAATAAATTTCTTGAGATGTTTCTAAAATTTGTCTATATAAGATTCAATCCAAAATATATCTGAATCTAAAGCATATTCTTGATAACATATTTCTATTATACATTATCTGCTGATAATGATACTTGTCTTTACAAGTACATTGCTGGATGAATGATTTATGTCCCTGGATTGAACCTATCCGGATCAATTGAGAAACACTTTTCCTCAAATCATGTGGCTATATTTATTCTCTAGATACCTTATCGCAACATTCATTAATGTAATTGAAGTTCAAGGCAACCTTATATTGTACGTTATGATATTTCGTAGTTGCCAAACTATATAACTATGTAATATCATTATCTCATTTGCAATACATTTTCTCATGATGATTAATAAAATCTGTCCTCTAATTAAAATATACATCATGAATCATCATATTTATTTATTTATAATTTTTAAGCCAGTGTGAATTGCCAGCTATTTATAGCAGAAAATACACTGTAACATAATGCCACATTATTTAAGCTTTACTAATGTTACTTATATGGATTGTGTCATTTTAGATATAAAATTGCCGAGTTCCAACCTAGAAATTCAAACTTTTAGTATATTTACAAAAAAGAGAGAAATTCAGTGGTAGTAGAATATTACAAACTTTGTATTTAATTAAGCACAATTTCTATTTGTGATTTCTGGATCATTAGTTCTTTACTAACAGCATGGATTTGGGAAGTGGCTAGCAGCAAGAAAATGTTCTAACAGCAAGTTGATAATCACACAAGCTGCCAAGAGAGGAAGCAGAAATAGCCATCTGTGTAAAAGCCTTACCATAAACTTCTTAAAAACCTGTATTTGAGGCAATGTGTCTTTTGGAATAAATAAACTGACTGTGTGTTATCACAGCCTCTGCAGAAAGAAAGAGAGGGGAGAAATAGTTTCCTTGAGAGCATTTCAATCTGTAATTAAAATGTAGCGACTGTGTGTGGCATGCAATAATAGTCATTCAAAGCAACAACTTTATAAATGTGGTAAGTTTTTAGATTCACTTTTATTCTTTCTTTTTCCCCCCTCTTGTTTTTATATTGCAGCTGCAAGATTTACACTACATGGTTGAACATTTCTGGGATTCTCAGTCAGCTCTTAGTGCTTGGGATGATCTGTATGATTTGGTCATGGTTAGGTGGAATAAGTGGCAAGAATGGTCTCCCTGGAACACAATTCTCCTCAAAGAGGATGAAGCTGAAGCTCATCTTAAACTAAGTGATCTTGAGAAGGTATTTATTTATTTTATTTATTGTAATTTGTCAAACAAAAACAAAAACAGGAATAATTATAAAAATACAATGCCAGGGACGATAGGCACATTAGTGCACTTATGCACGCCCCCTCTACGGACCTCTTAAGTATGAAGTGAGGTCCACAGAAGTCAATTTGTGACTAAAACTGTGAAAATTTGTAGCTGAGACAACTGAATAAGAGCATTCCAGACTTTGACAACTCTATTACAAAAATAATATTTTTACAGTCAAATTTAAAACAATTTACATTGAGTTTAAAATGCTTCTTCGTGCATGTATTATTGCAATTAAAACAGAAAAAGTTATTTACAGGTAAAACATTACTACGTACAATTTTGTATGGACTATCTAGGCCTGACCGCAAGCGACATAGTTCCAAGTTACCCAAACCATGAATTTCGAGCCTAGTAGTGTAAGGAATTCTATTGTGTACAGAAGAGTGCAAAACAGTTCTCATAAAGTACTTCTGAACCCTCTCGATCATACCCCACACACAATATACAGTATATACATATACATACACACATATATAAATATTAATAAATAAATTCAATTCAGTAAGGGGGGGATAAGGTATGATACTATTTAAATAAGTGTAATCTTTATTGTCATTGTACTTAAATACAATAAAATTGGTTATCCTTCAGATTCAAGTTTAAAAAGGTACATAGGAACACAGAGATACCATAGAATAAAATTTATGTTTTATTATGCAGATTGTGTGACAAGTATTCCAGATTGGAATGTATACAGGTAGTTCTTGACTTAAGACCCCAATTGGGACCAGAATTTCCATTGTTGGGGTGAATTTTACAAACTTTTTTGCCATGTTTCTTAAGCGAATAGTGCATGTGGTCATTAAGCACATGTGGCTTCTCCTATTGACTTGGCTTGTGAAATGCCAGCTGGAAAGGTTGCAGATGGTGATCACATGACCCCACGATTCTCTAATCATTGTAAATACATGCTGGTTGCCAAGTGCCTGAATCTTGATCACGTGACACTGGCGGGTATTCTGGAGAACTGAACTGAAAACATTTGAAAATGTTTCACTTCTCATCCAAAAAGCTTCTTCAGTTCTGGAGAACTAAAGAAGTTTCTTGGATGAGAAGTGAAATTTTTCAACGGAAAAAAACCCCCCAAAAGTCCAGTTCCCTTTCGAACAACAACTTTGGGATTCCAAATCAATCATTTTTAAAAACTGAGTAGGAATTAATCACATCCTAATAACCTATACCTATTTGTTAACTTCTGTAGTAGTTCACTAAATGGCATTGCATCTCTGAGCTAATCAACCTAAGAGTTATCTTTTTTAAAAACACAAAATAATCAAAACATTTTCTATTTTTTCTTTCTTTCAGGCTTATGAAAAGGTGTTCATTCACAGAGTAAGGCACAAACAAATGCTTGCAAGGAACTATTTTTCTCAGTTCCCAGAGCTGGCAGCTACTCTTCATAAAAGTGACAAGCAAACTAATACAGAAGAACTTTCAGTAATGAAGTCTGTAACAACTGCTTCATCAAAGTAACACTTAAAGAGAAGTTTAGAACAGTTCTCTTAAAAGAAGAGAACATTGCTTGGAAAATTGGCCTGATCATGATCTTAAAGAATGTTTGTTTGCATGCCCTGGATTTTTCTTTAAATTGCATTACCAAAACTTCAACTTAGAACTTCATTTCCAATTCATTATTGTTACACTGCACTTGCTTCCTTCTTGTATACCTCTGGTATACAATATGCTTTTGGAAGAATATATTGTCCGCTCCCCTTTACTCAAAAATGAGTAAATCCTTTTTAAAGTAAGAATATTTTGACAGCCTAGGCAAGTCTTAAGTAACAACTTTAAAAGACAATTTTAAAATAGAAAGCAGCTGTTTTCTTGTCAAGAATGTCTGCATATGAGACTTGGTATATATTAAAGACCTTGATTTCTTAAAGAGATGCTACTTTGATACAAAATAAGATAAAGTATATGTGTCTGTGTGTGTGTGTGTGTGTGTATGTGTATGTGTGTATGTATGTGTGTATGTATATGTATGTGTGTGTGTGTGTGTGTGTATGTGTGTGTGTGTATATATATATATATATATATATATCTTACAGCCAGCACTATCTCTTTTTATTGTATCTCAGTAAAAAAATTAGTGTATCACAAGCAGGTATAATATAATTTATTGAGGCAACAATGAAAAAGGATATCATAGGTTATTCATTTTGTCTGACCTTTATTCTCTATATGCTAATCATCAACATCTTAGTAAATTCAAATAGAAGTCAAACAGCCATGGTTAAAGACGTCTAAAAGATTTATAACTATTTTGTGTGGCTTTCATAATCTTTATATACTAATATAAACATAAACTAATACCTTGGCTCTTCAGTAACACAATTTATACATATTACATAATAGATCAATTTTAATTGCTGGAAGCATCAGGGTAGAATGTGGACAATTGCAAGGAGGTATTAAATCTATTCAGTTGTATAAGCATCATAAATATTACCAACAATTACACATGATTTATTTGGAAAATATTTTTCAAATTTATTGCAGGAAAAGATCACTGCTACTTTAGAAAAGTGCACAGATACTGCCTCTATCCAGCAAACTAGCTGATGGTGTTTTTCCTTGAAAGCTAAAACACCAAGTACAACCTGCCTCTAAAGTTTCCCTCAGAAGTATTTATATTAATGATACCAATAGGGATTCATCAGTATCAACAATTTAGGCAGGGAAAGACCATCATTTCAAAGAATGGGAGCATGTTGATCAATTTTCTCACAAAGTGACTGTCTTGATGGATCAACAATAAAATGCTCTGCCATCAGAAGACAATGTGGTAAAATTCCTTCCCACACTTTCCCCTCAAAATGCTTTTTACCTTCTCTCTTTCTCTTTTTTTTCCTGGACAGTCAGGCAGACTTGCAAACAAAGCACTGGCTTAAATCATCCATTCCCCGCTGCCCCCTAAATATGTCTCTGGTCTATGTGAATCCAGAGTCATTCTTGTAAATCATATTAAGGTAGAGGCAATTACTTTGTTTTGCGGTGTGCCAGCTTTCTATTTAATTAAAAGAACCTGTAAACAATTATAATCAGGAGTTAGGCACCCTGGTGGCTGCTAAGTGATGCATCTAAACACATTGGTGTCATAAGCATTATCTTGCCTTCCTCTCTTTTAAGTCAATTGAGGAAATATACATGAGGCAAGTTACAACCACAACCACAACCAAACATGAGGGCAACTTAATTATCTTTTCCTGTTTCTGTGATATCTACTTAATATGTATCAAAATTTTAGAACTTTAACATATTGGTTGGCTGCCTTTGCACACCACATTTCTCTGTTAATTGGAAACAATTCTTGTGTGACAAATTCAGAGGAATAAAATTCTTGACTTAGAAGGTGTCTTTTTGTGTATGTAGTCTTCTGCTGGTGTTTGGGTTACACACAAAAGACTGTATTTATACTGGCATCTTCATCCAACAGGCCTAAACGTTTGCCATTTAGTCCACTAACCATTTTATAATAAATAATTATAAAGACCTTTTGTGTAAGAAAGCAAAACAATGGTTTCCATAGAAAAAATTAATAAAAATAGCACAAATTATTCATCAAATTATTCATTGGATTAATAAGTTTGCTATAATTGCATGTTACATCTTGAATTAACTAAACTTTTAAAGATTTTCCCAGGAAAAGGAATTATTGTGTTTAGCCTGGAATATTTAAGAAACGGTCTTTTGCTTTTTGAATGATTTAACAGAAAAATCCCTGTAAAGAGTACTTTAAGTGAAGTATTTACCTGTCAACAATGTAAGGTTTTGAAATACAACTTACATATTGACTGGAGTGATGGGAGAACTATATTTTGGCAATATATAAAGTTTATATTGCCAAAATATTCTTTAGATGATTTACTGGATTCTCTTTAGGATGCTACCAGTTTTATTATTTTTTTCCTTTTCTTTCAATGTAAGTTAAAATGGGCATTATGTATGTTGTATGTTGTATGTTTATTATACTTGTATGCCACCCTATTCCCGAGGGACTCAGGATGACTAACAAACAAGTGGGGAAGGGGGAGATACAAAAAACAAACAAGACAAAAACAAGATATAAAAAACAGATTAAAAGCTACACACCAATCACAACAATTCAAGTGGGGCTGGGAACTCATCAGCCCCAGGCCTGCTGGAACAGCCAGGTCTTGACGGCTTTGTGGAAAGCCTGAAGCGTGGTGAGGGTCTGAATCTCCACAGGGAGATCATTCCAGAGGGCTGGAGCAGCCACAGAGAAGGCCCTCCCCCAGGGGTCGAGAGTCGACATTGGCTAGCTGATGGTATTCGGAGGAGGCCTAATCTGTGGGATCTAATTGGTCGTAGAGAGGTATTTGGCAGGAAGTGGTCTCTCAAGTACCCAGGTCCGATACCATGTAGGGCTTTAATAAATTTATTATAATCAATTTACAGTTAAACGAACAGTCACACACATAGCAGGTTCTCCCTCTCATTCAGAATGAGAAGGGACTTGGAAGAACTGCTATGTATTTGCAATGTCAAACCAGCAATGTTTTCAATAGGAATATGAATGAAAGTGTTTTGCATAATACACACATACTTTTCTCAAAAGCTGATAACTGCTTTTATGGGACTCCTATTGAACTTGCCAGGCATACTATATAAATGGAGATGTGACCCTGTTCTAATATCACCATTTGAATGCATCAATTTATCCAATCTATTGAACTTAGCATGGGTGATTATGACTCTGACTGAAAAAAATGCAGTTAGCTGAGAAACAATTCGGCAGCATTTTAATTGCCAAATATTCAGTACAGACCTGGATGCTTAAGCACAAAAACCTCAAAACAAGTGCTTATTCTGTTTTTGCATTCACTTCTTAGCATAAAATATAGCGTAGCATCTGCTTAATTAGTACTTTCATTTATCAAATATGGCTATAAAGGAAATAATTGGTTAAGTACAAATGTTCTGCGTTATTTAGACTTTCATTTTAGAAGTATGAAAATTGAAATCTAAATGCAGATATAATCACTTCAAAGTATATTTCAAAATCTATTTAATGTTGGCATAAAACCTGGTCTCTTAATATGCCAGCTACATTTTATATTATACATCTTCTTTTTAAAAAGTAAAAATATCCATAAATCATCAGTTTTTACAGCAACACCTTTGTTATCCAAATTTAGAAGAATTTTGTCATTGTATCACATAAATTTGATGTCAACAAGCATTTGCAGGCAAAATAATTTACGTTAGGAATGTAAACACAGCTGGAGAATATACAGTATGTCAGCATCCCAAAAAAATATATCTGCAAAATATTTTCCTTTTTCATCTAATGCACTTCAATTCTGAAAGTTGTGATTAAGGTTGCAAACTCTGGAAAAACAAAATTCTGGAAATTAATTCTGAGACTCCATCACTGCAGGCTGCCCCACCTAACTAATACCTCAGAAAGCCAACAGAGTCAGGCCTGGTTAATACTTGCAGGGGATAACTTCAGTAATTGCAGACTGAGGAGATGAGGAGGGGGAGGGAGAAGTGTGAGAAGAATGGCAAACCAATTTTATATTAGATACATGATTGGACTTGGTGCTTTTGCATGAGCAGGGGCTTGGACTAGATGACCTCCAAGATCCCTTCCAACTCTGTTACTGTTATTTTTACTCTCCTGGTTGTTTTTTATGCAGACATTTCATTATCAAAACTAGGTAACATCAGTGCCAGTAAGGACTCGGGTTTGCTAGTCCTTACTAGCATTGATGTTAACTTAGTTTGGATAATGAAATGTCTGCATAAAAACAATTAGGAAATGAGCTAAACTCTTTATTTTTAGGGCTATTCACAAGTGAAAGTCCAACTGAAAATGGGATGACCCTCTTAAAGATGGATTGAATGTGCTTGTAATTCATTTCCCACTAAACAGTACATTCATTCCAAACATATGTTACCTACATAATCACAACAAATTATATTCTCACGGTAATCATATGTACATCACTGCTATTCACAGTATCCAATTCAAGCTAGAAATCAAATTCAAGCTTCCTCAGTCAAGCAGCTGAGCCGAGCCTAAGCACCAATATTAACTACATATGCAGTGAAGGAACTCTGCAGTTAAAAGAAAATAATTGGGAAATACTTTAAGTTAAACCTATGCAGGAAATGTAGAACACAAAATAAATCCCCCAAAGAAATGAGCCAGTCACCCACTGTTCCTTTTTCCCCCCTTTTTTCTACCCTGTGCTCCCTTTTATTGGAGTGGAGTCAGGGTGACTAAATGAAGCTGAGTATTTCCTGGCCAGATGCCCTTCCTGATGCCTACACAGAGTTCACAACAGATATTTTCTCTTTGCGCCCTGATAGAGAAACATCTGTCACTGCCTAGGACTGAACTCTCAAACTTCCGAGTGTGAAGCGAGCGCCTTCACCTTTAAGCCACAACACCGCTCTGAACAAACCACTCCTATGTTGAAATAAAATATATTCTTCCATGTATAGATCCCATCCCTCTCCTTTTTATAGTTCAAAATGTCATCTGAATAGAAGTAGATGCCACATTCACAAAGAACAACTCTGCCTGGGGTAGAGACCTAGAGGACTTTGATTCATAGGACCAGAAACTTGGAGAGGCATCTATCAAGTGTATTTGATTCCTTTCCGCCCCTCCATTTGCATAGAAGCTCTATCTGTCAGGTCTGGAAGCCATCTTGGGCACTGGATCTTCAGGCCTGCCACATTTAGTCTGTGGGAAACTGTGAAAGGGGATTGTATAGAGCTGGGAAGATATATAGTCATAGGGATAGCAACATTTCTTTCTCCGAGAGTCAAGGACATTCTGCCCGACACCTGGAGGGGTGTGGCTGGAAGGAACCTCCAGTCGGGACGTTGCTTTGATTGGACCATATGATAGACATGTGGGTGTTGATTAGGTGCTTAAACTTTCCTTTTGGTGGGGAAAACCTGAAAACTTTCAGATTCGGGTTTTCCCAGATGTGCCAATATGACATCTCTAATAAAATGGAACTTTGAGGAACTTCAAGCCTCAGAGTCTTATTTCATTGGGGGTGTTACTTGGAGCCCTGACACTATTATTGTAATTCTACAACCACAAGAAATGTTTAATCATATATGGAAAATGTATGGAGAAGAACCAAAGTGAAGGATTCAGAAGTAATCCAATAACAGTAGAAATAAGATAAATGCAATTTTTCTTTAAAAATAATTGTTTTTGGTTGATAGAGAATATCCAATCACCTTTACCGCAATAAAGGTGGATAAACCTTGTGTTGATTTTATTTGACAGTGGATAATTTCATATGTGTGACAATCTCTTCTGAGTTGAGCAGAACACATGGAGTTTTATCAGGTACATTTCTGAATTATCCTCTCTTTATGGCCAGTAAATAGTACTTTGGGTGATTTAGCAAGAGAGAATTATAGTAGAAGAGGTAGCTTGCTGGGTTCTTCTATCATATGAAGTGGAATAGAAGAACTATGAGGACAAATTTTATTGGGATAATAGTTTTTTTTTTTTAAATCAGCCTGGAGATGTTATATAGCACTAAGTCTGCCTTATCTAACCCATGGCTTATAGGTGTTAATGCAGCATTTACTATCATATTTTCTGCCTTTTATTTCTCTCTGATTTCACTGTCCATGGCATATCTGTACACAGGTGTATATTTCTGGAAAACGTTTTGTGTATTTGATAAACAAGGAGCATCAATGGAGTGTGTGGAAAAAGTTGAGATGATGACCACACCTCCAAGGTTTGAGCCACATCACCTTTTATATGTGCTACCATTTTGACTCGTTCTCCCCCCCCCCCTCACTGCTTCTGTGAACACAATGCTCATCAATTGGGAAGCTGCCACAAGCATTTTTGCTTAGTTTTAATATGCTACATTGCCTGTAAATCATCCTTTTAAATAAAAACTCTCATAGCTGGGGATTACGATAGCCAAAAATTAACATTCATGAATAGAGAACATCATAATTGGGAAAGACTCTTTTAAGCAATTAATTTATGGGAAATTAACCAAGAAACAATTAAGAATCCACTAATCCATCTTTCAAGCATATCAACATTTATTCCAGTGCTTTGCCCTAACACTTTCTGTTCCACATTGTCTATATTCCAAAATTTCTCGCAATGTTTTGCTTCCCTGTAGTTTTCCATATGGAAGTATATGGAGTAAACTCTCTTTATATTACTTTCTAGAACCTCTTTTTCATTTTCTCTTTTTTTTGGGGGGGGGGTTGTGTTCCTTTCTCAGAAGTTTTGACTCAGACTGAAGACAGGGCTTGTGAATGGAGGTATGGCTACTACAATACTCTTTCAATGCTTCCAAGCATTTGGAAACAAAGTAGAAGGGAAAGTCTAGACATAAAACTCTTTGGCCAGAAAGGTTGGAACTAACTAAAGATTCATTTCTGATTTTTCTTACAAATTAAATGGAAAATGGATTTTATGCAGGAAAATGCAAGAACATGTTTGATATTTTAATAGCTATCTTCTACAGCTACTGTATATCTATGATGCTGTAAATCTCCTACTTTCTTCTTAAAATTGAATTCTTATTCATTTGTGAGCACAATTATTGGATTTTTTAAAAAGAAGTAACTTAATCTCGCCCGTCAGGCCTGGGGATAAGGATAGTTACCCCTCCCGAATGATGAATGTATGTTGCCTACCATTTTATGATATGTCTCTATTTGATGTTTGTATTTCCCCCCTTCCCAGTTTTATGTGAGCCGCCCTGAGTCCCCTCAGGGAAAAGGGCGGCCTACAAATTCTAATAAAACTACAAAACTAAAACAATCTGGCACCATGACTTGATACTACTCCCACTACCACCATTGCTGTTCTAACAACTATATATCTGACCATATTATAATATGGTGTAATAATATACAAATTGCATATAAACACAGCAGATACCAGGCTCCAGGAACAGCAATTGCGTTGTAATATATACTGCTATAGTGGCATCATAAGAACAAAAGAAGGACATCATGTAGTATAAGGATGTCAGATAATTCTCTTGCTAGATGAACACAATTTATCTGTTCCTAAACCAGAACTGCTAGTAAAGAGAGTCTTATCTTCAAAGCTATGTCAAAGTTTGCATTCTTTTTCCTGTTGTCATAAAACAGACCTACTCCAGCTATCATAAATAAAAACTGGCCAAAGCCAGAAGCTTCACAAAAGATACCAATATAACCAGTTCCTATCAGTTATTTTCCTTCCAAGTCAAGTTTGGTTTCCTTACCACACAAACCCTGAAAAGACCATGGCAAGAGGCAGTGCTGTTTCATGGCGACAGCTACTCTATGCATTTCTTGTCCTATGCAAAGAGACCTTGTCCTTGGATCATGTTCCTATGCTGCTGTGGTCAACAGATAGGTAAGAAATTCTCTACTTTTATAAGATGCAGCTATTTTCAGAGATGTGTTTTGTGCAGCCACCCTTCCAATTTCATCCTTACCTGTCATCTGGAAGACAAACCTACTTGGAAGAATATATTTGTCCACCTGCAGACAGCCTCTGCTTTGTTTCCCACCAGTTTCAGAAGTCTGAATGATGAGTGATTCTCAAGTCTTAACAGATTCACTTTCCTGGGTCTGAGGAATGTTGTTCCTATTTAGCATCCAGCTGAGACAATTGTATTGCAAGGTTTCATTCTAGATATCCTTGTTCAGTGTTTTACCTACTGGCACCAGTAGCGGCAGTGACAGTGTGTGTGTGTGTGGGGGGGGTAGACATAGAAATTAGGTATTCTCTTAAACTTCTTCTTGATGCTCAGAACATAATGGAAATCTTTGTACTGTTAGTTTAGTGGACCATCTCAACTATAAAGCTAAAGTTTCCCTGTCAGTCATGTCTGACTCTAAGGCAGGGTGCTCATCTCCTTTTCTTGGCCAAGGGAGCCAGCATTGTCCAAAGACAATTTTCATGGTAATATGGCCAGCATGGCTATACTTCATATGTGTATGGAATACTGTTACCTTCTCACCAAAGTAGTGCCTATTAATCTACTTGCATTTGCATGCTTTCAAACTGCTATGTTGGCAGGAATTGGGACAAGTAAAGGGAGCTCACCTGCTGCACAGAGCCTGAGTATCAAACCTGTGTTGTCAGCCCTCCAGCTCACAAGCTCAGCATCTTTAACAGCTGAGCCATCGTGCCCTGAAGGCTCAGCTATTAAACTATACCCAACTATGCCTCTTAGCAAATCCTGATGTGCTGTTCTGTAAACTCAGTCCTGAAATTATTTTTTATTGCAGAGTAAGAGTAGGATATCAATGTTTTATTTATAATGCATTTTCCATATATGCATGTACATCTGTACGTATGTATGTATATTAGATGTTTTGTCAAGACACCTGGTATGCCCAAATATGGGAGGGAGCATACTGCTTCCCTTTTGCCCTTCAGCTCCATAGGAACCTCCTAGGCCGAAACAATTTTGTATTTTGTATTGATGAGAGCTAAATAGCTAAATAGCTCGAAATTGATCTATACTACTCTCCCTTCATTTATTTATCAGCAAAAAATTATATATATATACATACATACACACACACACACACATATGCAGGTCTTGGCGTATTCGGGTCTTTTCTTATGTAAGATTGTGAGTATCTTGGCAACATTTCGACAAGGTCCCACTCGCCATCTTCAGGCTGGTGCCTTCGGCTTCGTGCTTGTGCAAGCAAAGCATGATCGGAGCTGCTGTCTTTCTATAAATATTGGTGTGTGTGTGTGTGTGGAGTGCTGGCTTTGTTGCTGTAAGCGGGTTGGTTGGCTGTGTTGTTTCATCTTGATTAGTTGATGGAGTTGATGTATGCAGATTAGTCAGCTGTTTTGTAACATCCTCTGTGGCTGAGTTACTAGCTATGTGCCCATTAGTTTTTTGTGTTGTAATGACTTGGGTAATGGGCTGTGTGATGACATCCTGAGCTCTAGTGTAGTGATATCCTGAGTCCTGTGCTGCAACAACCTGGGAGGTTGGCTGCGTTGTAACATCCTGAGCCTTTGCATTGTAACCTCCTGAGTTCTGTGATGCAATGTCCTGAGCAGATGGCTGTGATGTAACATCCCGGGCTTTGGTTTGGCCCCAAGTTTGCGGTCTGGCTATGTGTTCATGGTGTGTGTCAGTTTGCTTTGTGTGGGGGTCGGAGGGGTGGGGTGCAGCAGTTGGTGATGCCGCCATGATTTGGCTTCTGGATGGTGGTTGCATTTCGTCTATGGGAAGGGTTTGGGTTTGAGT